AAAAGCACCAGCGGATTATTGTAGAAAATCAGTGCTATAGCTATTACAGCCATACGCGTGTACATACATACATACTCGTACATCAATCAGCAACGATAAATTGCGAAAAATTCACAAAAATTCTGTACATTTCAAAAACGGGTTACGCCTCTTTTCGCTGCTGAACTCTTAAAAAGCATGTCGACAGTATGCAAATTTAAGCAATAGTTGAAGAAAAGGAAAAAAGTAAACGAAATCTGCAAAAAAAAATTTATGTACAAAATATACATACATACATAGCATAAACGAAGCTTTTAGAACTTTAAAAAGTAAAAGAAAAAGTTAAAAAAATTAACAATTAATTTAACGTACTTGCTTCTGCTGCATACATACATACATACATACATACATAAACGTAATTAAGTACTTTAATCAAACGCCGCTTTGCAGTAAAATTAAGTTGGAATCATATAAAGTAAACGAAAATTGTGTGATTTAACTTTTAAGCTAAAACGCCAAAGAAGTATTGAGACAAATCACATACGCGCAATACGTTTGTTGGCTATATACATACATACATACATATTGAATACTAAGGCATAACAAAAAAAATTATATACATAAATCCAGTTAAACATTAAAAAGTTTACGGTTTTAGAAAGTAGTCGAAAAAAAAATCAAATAAATTTGGTATAAATATAATATGGGTGGTTGTGCTTCGAAAGATAAGAAGGATACAGTGGTCGAAGGGGATGCGGCTGCCGCAGACAAGGCGGGAACTGCTGAAAATGGTGCGGATGGAATAGCAGCTAACACAACTGCAGAGCCTTCGGCCACTGCGAATGGCGATGCGATCAACAACGAAGGGTGTGTATCAGGTTTCGTATTTGCAAATACGTATGTATAAGTAAAATGGGACATACATACATACATATAGATATATGCTATATATGTACATACATTAGGGTGCTTCTTAAAATGTCAACAATGGAAATTTTGTATGCGACACCCCATCAAATCGTTTTAAGTACGGGGAAAATTTGCTAAATTTTTCAATAATTTTTAATGTTCGCTACCAGGTTTGGAAAATATTCAAAGACGACAAATTTTGCATACATACATTATTTTTTTACCATTGAAAAAATAAAAAAAAATAATGCTTTTAGCTCAGAGAGTCCACATTCTCTCTACCCTGTGCACCCATTTCTTCATAGTTTTCAAGATAATTATTTGCAATCTACTGTTATTTGGAACCTAGGAAAAATTTGAAAAATGCTACATTTATTCCGAAACAAAAATATAAACAAATGACAGTCTTTGGAGCTTAATATTGCATAACGAATCCATGGGAGTGTTAATTTTTTTTTTAATTTCTCTATTTGGTTACCAATATGTCAAAATTGTTAAATTTCAATATATTTTCAATAACTGGTAGCGACCTTTAAAAACCAATTTACGATGTTTAAATTTTCGTGGATGTCTTTAGTTTGTACATAGAACGAAATGCACCCCCTCAACCAATATAAAATTTTTTATTTTGACATTTTAAGAAGCACCCTAACAAATGTACATACAGATTTATAACGACACGAGTGTGATTTTTTGGCAAACTATTTTAATTGAAAATACTTGAAAAAATAAGAACTTTTTGTGCAATTGTATGGTGTGTCTGTATAGGTTTTTCAATGCATTTCTGTGAGCAAGCCAAATTTGTGGGCAAATATTTGGCTGCTATTGAGACATACATATGCCGATAATATAAAAAAGTGTGTTTTTTTTTAGGTAAAAGGTCGATCTAAAAACAAAATACGAGCGCTTGCGAAAGCGCTGTATTAATTGTAAATTTAAAAGGCTATCTCCTCGTCTCCCACTTTCCAACATTGCCGGTGGTGGTTGTACGCCTACACAATTAGTAAAAATCGCCATCGCACATGAACTGTCTGTCATGCCGGCAGCGACGCGCTTCGTCCATTTAAAAAAGGATCTATTAAATTATTACAACGGTTTTAGTTGGTGGAAGCAACAGTAAAATGAGTCACACACATTATGCTTGCTTGAACAATTTCAAAAGAAAAAAATACCTATTTTGGGTGTGGAAACAATGTGAATTCCGGAACTGTCATGCTTAGTGTGACCAGGTTAGGCTTTATGAAGCTAGATTTTGCGTTTAATTTTATCCTATAGCCCTGGAATTTTAAGTCTAGAGTCTAGACGTTTTTATTTCAAATATTCATAACTAAGTTCGGACCGAAACATAAAAAAATTACTTATTTTAGTAATCATAATTCTTAATATTTCAAAAAATGCATAGTTACAATGACAATGCAAATTAAAATTTCTTTGAGAAAATTTATTATTGGCTTTTGAATTAAATGGCTTTAAATTAAACAAATATTTAGAATTAAAAAATTTTCTTTCAACTGTGTTTTTTATATTTTGATTTGTTTACGTACATACCACTTGTGCCTAATCAATTCACAGAATTTTCGCTGTTTTATTATACTGACCTTAAACTCCTTTCATACCTCGTAATCGATATACGCCAGTCTTTTGAAAAGTTTGTGTTTAAAGAAAATCATTTTCGCTGAATGCATCGAGTTGGTTAGGAGTTTTTTTCTAGATGTGATTGATTAGAAAAATACAATAAACAAGTCATTTTTAAGCAGAAACAAAACCGACTTAAATTCTCATATAAAAATTTAAGAGTACCGTTAATTTCTTAATGATCCAATGATCGGATCTAAACCAAATTATGTAGTTCTTTACTTTAAAAGAAGAATTATATAAATCGGTTAACGCGGTTCAAAGTTAAGCGGTAACATACTTAAAAAATATAGATATATATTCCGACGAATTGATAACTTCCTCCTTTTTTTTGAAGTAGGTTAAAAATTGTCTAAAGCTCTTAGGATCGAACTTTTCCTGACCTCTTTTCAATTTACTTAGCTTCGATTTTTGCGCTCATCCGGCCACACTGGTCATGGATGTGGTACATGTGGTACGTTTAAATTTCTGCATTGGGGTTACTTAAAATAATAGCAGAGAAAATAGGAAAATAGATACACATCAACGTGTCGTATGTACATACATACGTACATATGTATGTATTCATCTTTTAACCGCCCTTATTGCGGACCGCATGCGTGACAACTGCAAATCTAGTATTCAAGTCATTAAAATGGTTTGAGGCAGGACACAAAAACGCCGGTTTCACATTTTGTTTCTCCGCTTTTCGTATAGCCATTTGCCTTGCCATATACAGGGCTAATAGGCGCGTGCTGTCACTATTCAGCACCAGTGCGGCATGCTAACAAGTATTTTTTTTTTTTTTATAATAACCGTATCTCAACCACTTTCCGCACACTGCTTTTTGACTTTTTTCTATTAACTTTTACAAAGTCACTTTTTTACAAAAACAAATGTTCCGTATAAAATATTTTTTTCTATTAATAATTTTAACTAAATTTTACATAAAAGCTAACCAAATGCGCTGTCTTAATAAAATTCGTCCTTTGTTAATGCGTACGCTGCAGCAGCAGCCCACTCTTGTCTGCTACACGGACTGGTGCAAGTAATTTACAAATATACATATGAACATACATACATACCTCCATATTTAACTAATATCGACTTAGCAGCTATTAAACATAAATAGTAATTAACTTGTCTCTTGTTTTTCTCTTCAATTTCTTTGCAGAAAATTAAACATCATGGTTGACGCTGCTGTTCTTGCTAAATTGGAAGAAGGTTTCGCCAAATTGGCCGCCTCTGACTCCAAGTCATTGCTGAAGAAGTACTTGACTAAGGAAGTCTTCGACAACTTGAAGAACAAGACGACCCCAACTTTCAAATCCACCTTGTTGGATGTCATTCAATCCGGTTTGGCCAATCATGATTCCGGTGTTGGTATTTATGCTCCCGATGCTGAGGCTTACACCANGGCAGCAGCCCACTCATGTCTGCTACACGGACTGGTGCAAGTAATTTACAAATATACATATGAACATACATACATACATACCTCCATATTTAANCCACTCTTGTCTGCTACACGGACTGGTGCAAGTAATTTACAAATATACATATGAACATACATACATACCTCCATATTTAACTAATATCGACTTAGCAGCTATTAAACATAAATAGTAATTAACTTGTCTCTTGTTTTTCTCTTCAATTTCTTTGCAGAAAATTAAACATCATGGTTGACGCTGCTGTTNATACCTCCATATTTAACTAATATCGACTTAGCAGCTATTCAACATAAATAGTAATTAAATTTTCTCTTGTTTTTCTCTTCAATTTCTTTGCAGAAAATTAAACATCATGGTTGACGCTGCTGTTCTTGCTAAATTGGAAGAAGGTTTCGCCAAATTGGCCGCCTCTGACTCCAAGTCATTGCTGAAGAAGTACTTGACTAAGGAAGTCTTCGACAACTTGAAGAACAAGACGACCCCAACTTTCAAATCCACCTTGTTGGATGTCATTCAATCCGGTTTGGCCAATCATGATTCCGGTGTTGGTATTTATGCTCCCGATGCTGAGGCTTACACCATTTTTGCCGATTTGTTTGACCCCATCATTGAGGATTACCATGGTGGTTTCAAGAAGACCGATAAGCATCCAGCCAAGGACTTTGGTGATGTAAACTCGTTTGGCAATTTGGATCCCAACAATGAATTCGTCATTTCCACACGTGTACGTTGCGGTCGCTCCTTGCAGGGTTATCCATTCAACCCATGTCTCACCGAAGCCCAGTACAAAGAGATGGAAGATAAGGTCTCATCCACATTGTCTGGTTTGGAGGGTGAATTGAAGGGCAAATTCTACCCATTGACTGGCATGGAGAAATCTGTTCAACAGCAATTGATCGATGATCATTTCTTGTTCAAGGAAGGTGATCGCTTCTTGCAGGCTGCCAACGCTTGCCGTTTCTGGCCAACTGGACGTGGTATCTATCATAACGACAACAAGACTTTCCTGGTGTGGTGCAATGAGGAAGATCATTTGCGTATTATCTCCATGCAAATGGGTGGTGATTTGGGTGAAGTTTTCCGTCGTCTGACAAATGCTGTTAATGATATTGAGAAGCGTATTCCATTCAGCCACGATGACCGTTTGGGCTTCTTGACCTTCTGTCCCACCAACTTGGGTACCACCATTCGTGCCTCTGTGCACATTAAGTTGCCCAAATTGGCTGCTAACCTTGCCAAATTGGAGGAAGTTGCTGGCAAATATAATTTGCAGGTGCGTGGCACACGCGGTGAACACACCGAAGCCGAAGGTGGTATTTACGATATCTCCAACAAGCGCCGCATGGGTCTCACCGAATACCAAGCCGTCAAGGAGATGTACGATGGCATCACTGAACTCATCAAGATCGAAAAGAGCATGTAAATGTGCTACAATAGCAATGTAACATTGTTTCGACTCAATAATTTTTTTTAAATTATGTGTCGAATGTTTATTTGTAGTCAAGCAGATGTTGTGTAGTTTAGTATGTACTAAGTGAGTTTAAAGGGGTGGTGCAGCAGGTGGACAGGTCCCGGCATTTTGAATATACATAAATACAAATTGGGGAGCTGCCTTTGCTGCTTTTTTCAATGCCCTGCGTTCGTGAGAAATGCCTTCCTGGAGAAGAACAACATACAAACACCATCAAAAACAACACTGCAACCACCAGAACACTATTTAACAATGAAAACACTCTTATTCTTAAAACAAAAACAAAAAAACAAAAACAAAAAACAAAAAAAAAAGAAGAATACGTCAAATGTTTGGACATTTTTGTGAAGCTGAAGATAAAAAACACAAATATTTATAATTTTAAGTCTTAAGTTTATAAAAAAAAAACATTAAAAATAAAACTTAAAATAAAACCGGAAACGCTAGCTTATTTTCTTTGGTAATTATGCGTAAATGTATTTGAAGAATACACGCTTACATACATATTTAAATTAGCTCATAAGGTCATACACAAATGCCTTAAAATTTTGGCGAATAGTTGTGGACAGTTTTAAAACAAATATTAACAGCCAAAAGAAATATTTAGCGCCTAAAGTTTTGCACCTCCTAATACCAGCTGGTTGTTATAGGTACGGTGACCAGCCGTCCCGTATTTTCTTGGGAATTTATTTATTTTATACGAGACGCCAAATGTTCTGTATTTCTTTTAATGAAAGAAAAAATACAAAAATTATTTCTGCAATGTTTCACCAAAACTTAAAACTTTTTTATTAGAATCTTTAGAAAAAAATTTTGTTTGCATTTTTGTAACTCATTAAAATTGAGCATAATAAAGTGCGAGTGGAAAGTGCTGCTCATTCACGATTCAATAACTTAAGGTTTGCTTAAGAGTGACATTAGAGCGGTGATGGCCACCGCCTTGCCTGCGGGCAAATTTATTTTAAGCATTCTATACATTTTTTATAGGCGCATGCAGAGTAAAAACTCTTTCTGTCCATCGCTGCATTCGAGTTTTGACACTCCCTTAACTATCTTACAAAAGCTTTGCCCACACAAACGAACCCACACACAGTGCCTTGCTAAGGGAGCCGATTTTGTCAAGAGGGAGATTATTGAATCATGCTGCTCATTTGCTTCTCTTCCAAAAAAAAAATGCCAAAACTTAATGGTAAGCTTTAGCAACTTCAAAATTGCACTTTATCTTACTAAAATTTAACAAATTTTACGGGGTAAAAATCTCGAAAAATTGCGTGTCATATCTCAAATAGTTCCAGCTGCGAGGAACTGCGAGCTCAGTTTCTATTCTTCCTTTTATAGACCCACCACCTGTATAATTTATTGATTTTCTATTGTAGAGCTAAAGGGAAAGACTCTGATATTTATATAAAATAAATAATATGCAATATAAAATGGAAATTGAAGAAGGTGTAGATAT